AACAACGAGTTATGGTGGCACAATGGGCTGAGCATTGAGCTGCTAACTGAAAGGTTGGTAGTTCAAATGTACCTGCTTCTCCACAGGAGAAAGATGAGTTGTTCTGCTCCCATGAAGATTTCTAGCCTAGGGAACCCTGCTGGCAGTTCTGCACTGTCCTGTAAGGACACTGTGAGCTGCAATTGGCTCAAGGGCAGTGGGTTTGATTTTTGGTCTTTCTCTATCTATGTGTCCTTGAGTCCTAGTCTATTGTGTGAAATTGTGGGAGAATATTAAGGAGGCAAGACTCCCTTTGTGACACTGTGCTAAGTACTTTAGGGAACTCTGGTGACCTAGTGGTCAAGAGTTGTGCTGCTGGCCTGAAGGCACATGGTTTGAAGCTACCAGCTGCTCCGTGGGAGAAGGATGGGCAGTATCCTCCCATGTCTCTGAAAACTCACTGGAGGGTCTGCTACGAGTCGCTTCTGACTTGACAGCGATATTGTTGTTAACTCATATTAACCCTATGAACAGCGGCCTGAACCCTGCCCTATCCTGTGCTATCCTCATCATCTCTGATAGACTAGACAGTACATAACAGAAATTCCTCACAAAGTTAGGCTACCAAATGGAGGCTCAGTTGTAAATCCTGGCCCGAGAAGACCGCATGAATTAGAGGATGAGCTGGGAACTCTGACCCATCCAGATCTAAAGCCTAGAGGTCCTTAACTCGAGGGTCTCTGCATCCTGCCCCACATTGCCCCAGACAGCTGGATAGAGCCTCATCAGTCCATCCCCCCCTTGCCATGACTCCTGGACTCTGGAGTGAATTAGCTGTGTGACCCAGGCAGGTGGTTTGCAGTAGACTTTCCAGATCACTGCTCCCTCTTTCCAAGAGGAGTAGCAATTCTCAGAGACTGGCCCTGCAACACCAGGCCAAAGGTACGGCAGGGGTTACAAAGTGCAGGGCCTGGTGCATTGGATTACTTTGAAAGTGATTTTTTAAGCATTTCTGTGCCAGGTCAATGTCGGTCAGAGGTTCAGAGCTCCTCATTGATGCCTCTTCTGTGAAGATGCCCAGCCACCACCTTCCCTCTCTCCCACCTCCAGGGGGAAATGACCCAGACAGCTACTCCCTTCTGCTCTCCTACATCCCGTCTGCCATCTCCCAGAATGAGGGCAGCAGGAAGAGGCCAGGATATGTGACTCAATTCTCTGACTCTGCTCCAGACGTCAGCACTCCCACTTAACCCCTTGAGTAAATCCTGAATTCTCATCTTCAGAGCAGCAATGGGGCATGCGAGATGTTTAATGGCTCTGGCTTTTCTTTTCTCTGAGCCTCAGTTTCCTCATCTGTAAAATGGGAGCTTACATTATTCCTGGACTAACCCATACATCACTTAACTAATGGTAATTTGTAGTAGGACAATATAATTTTTTTAAAATACCATGAGAGACAGAAAACAAGCTCTATCTTCCCTGCAGTACTCACCCCAGGGCCATGGGCAAAAGAAGTGCTTAATAAACCATAAGTGGAAATGGCTGGAGTCTGATGGACCTGGGTTCAAATGTGCATGACCTTGAATCAGTTACCTCATCTCTCAAGAGTCTTTATGTGTCAAAAACAGGATAATGATGCTGCCTGCCTCCAAAGGCTGCTGCAGGGATTAAGTGGGAACTGAAGCACACAGTGATAACATTTATTATTAAAATTAACTTGCGAATAAAAAAAAGAGATGAGTAAAACAAAGACCTTGCTCTCAAAGATTGAACAGCTGTGAAAAATAGGATTCATCTCTTTCAAGCCACCTCCATTTGATTGGCAGGGGCTGCCTGGAGTATTGTGTAGAGGATTATAAAACCAAATCTACTCCCAGCAGGAAAAAGTGATTGATTATCAATGCCAGCCACAGGGCAGGAGTGGGGAATGGCAGCAGATATGCAAAGCATATGCTGACCTTCGTTTGGTTAGAAAGACAGACATGTAGTCAAAGGACTCTGATATAAGGCAAGCAGTTTGCTTAGGGAAGAAAGAACCAGGAGGCTTTCATCAAGCACATGCATTAAAACAGAGTCTTGAAGGGCAAATGCCAGGAAAGCCAGTCTGGGCAAAAGGAATAGCTTAAGAAAACATAGGATGCATGAACTGTAATGCTTTGGGCTGCAAGTAAAACCCTGGGAGAAATATGGGCAGACTCCTCCTGTGTGATTTATAGCCTATGAAACTCACTGGTTAGTCAGCTAGGGGTTGATTCCAACTCAGGGGCTTTGAGAGTGAGTTTATTATAGAAGGGGAGCTTGGTACAGTGTAGTCGATTAATTAGTATGGCCTTATAGTCATTACCTTGCAGTTCTCAACAAGTAACTGGATTGTGCTTTTAGGCACCATCGAGTCGACTGCAACTCACAGTGAACAACAGATCTGAACCTTTCCCTATCCTGCACCATCCTTGCCATCTCTGAGACACTTCAGTCCACTGTTACAGGTACTGTGTTAATCCACATTGTTCAGGATCTGCTTTCCCCAGCATGGGGTCTTTTTTCCAGGGACTGACCTCTCCTGAAAAGATGCCTGAAGTAAGTGGAATGGAATTTGACCATCCTGGCTTCCAAAGAGCACCCTGGTTGCACTTTTTCCAAGACAGACTTATTTGTTGTTTTAGCCTTCAGTGGTATGTTCCGTATTCTTCTCCAGCACCACAATTGGAAATGACTGGGCTGTTGTTCTTGTTAGGTACTATTGAGTCAAGTATGACTCATAGTGACCCTATGAACAGCGGACCTG